TGCTAACTGGTTAACAAGATGCTTCCGACAAACCGGCCACAATCAAACATGCTTGCGAACCTTCCGCAATAACAATCCTGCCCCCTTGATAAACGACTAATCACATTCACTTTATTCACTTGTGTAAAGTTGTGCACCACTCGGGAGAATTTGGAAATGTAGCGGTTGGAACAGACTACGACTTTAACATTTCCATTTCTTAAAGTGCAGCAGTGATCAAATGTAAACAGCGTGGAGGGAAAAAAAACATTGTGCAAAAAGCGCTTTGATATGAATGTTCAGAACAATCATTTATATGGTGCAAATTATCAGTGTGATGCAGCTAACAAGCTTTGCACATTTAGAGGCTTCAATTCTTTACAAAGTGACTTAATGCTCAGTCTGATTGGATGAGAGCATATCAAAGAGCAGTTCTGCTTTAATCTAAACCAATGCAATGATTCTGCTGGCTGTCTAGCATTGGAAGGAGAAGCTCTATTGAATCCAGCAATCATCACACTGCAGCCACCATACAGTTTTTAGGGTATAGATGACATTTTCACAGCCACGGGCAGTTGTAATTTCTTACACACATAGCTGTTCTGTGTAGGATAAGAATCTCCATTTTTGTGACCCATGAATGTAATCCTGATGACATTTTCTTCTTTCACGATTGGTAGATTTGTTTAGCTCCCCATGGTTGCCCCGCTAACAATTCTCCCACCTGAGCTGTAGATCTCTTAAGCTTCTCACAGCCTCTGATTAGTTACCTTCCTGCGCAGGGTGCCTGGATGTTAAAGGCCAATAATGCAGTCAGCCTGTTGCATGCTCTCATCGGGGTGCTATAATAAAGTTAAGGACAGATAAGAAACAAAGCAGAAAAGGAAATGTGAATTTACTGCATCAGTATTGAAGGATGTTTTCATTGAATGTCATCTCTTCAGCTCTTTTATTTATCTTTTTTATTATTTCTACATTTTTTAAATACATACACACCGTTTTGTTGCATATATATATATATATATATATATATAAAGCTAAATATTGTTTTCCTTCCACTTCTAAACTTTGCATCACTTTGTGTTCGTCTGTCATTTGAATTCTTAGAAAAGTCTATAATATGAGGCTGTCAAGGTTCTGCAGTTAGATGGTAAATAAATGTCTGAATCCTTTAATTTGAGGCGTTTTCTTCCTTCAGGTAAAAGAAGGTCCCCAGCTGCTGCTCAGTGCTTGCCTCTCCTGTGACGGCTGCCTCTCTGAGGAGGACACCCTGAGGATCACTCAGCAGAACTTGGAGGAGGTGGAGCGTGTTCTGGCCCTCAATAAGGTGCGTCCACACGCATTCTGCACGAAGCATAGCAGAAGGGAGGGGAAAGGGTCTGGGCTGACGTTGGCGGCGTTTCTGTTGTCGTTGGCAGAAATGTGACGCATCGAAGCACAAGGTGGTGGTGGCGTCGGTTTGTCCACAGTCGCTGCCTTTCTTCGCCGTCCAGTTTGGTTTGGATATTACCGAAGCCGCCCACAAGCTCTGCTGCTTCCTCAAGAGTGTCGGTGAGCCGACCAGAGACATCTTTATCCCTAAACGACCTTAATTTAATGATAAATGAACCCATTTTTTATTTTATTTTGAAGTCTATAAAGATGTGACCAGAATTTTTCTTCCTTTTGTGACTCTTTGTTTTGTTTTGTTTTTCTGCAGGAGTAAAGTTTGTGTTTGATACCACCGTGGCAGCAGGCTTCAGCATCTTAGAGACCCAGAAGGAGTTTATTCAGAGGTATCGCAGGAGGCACCATGACTCCCACGCCTTGCCCATGTTCACCTCCTCCTGTCCAGGTAAGCTGCCTCTCTTCCTCCCACTTTGTTTCTGTTTTCTTTAAGCTAAATCTGCTTCAGGTTATTTGTTGTTTCTCTCTCTACTTCCCGCACAACTGTGCTGTTTGTGTAAGTTACATACGCTGATCATCTTTATTTTGTCCATAACTTTGGTTAGATTTG